CAGGGGGCTGCTCTCTGCCGATGCGGCCGAGCTGCTCAGAGCTCTCGTTTGGTCTGGGCTCCATCTTGGCCAAAGCTGGGAGCAGCTCTGCCTTTCTCCACCCCAGCATTGCCTTTTCCTGACCAGCCCGCAGCCTTCCAGCCTCAGCTGCTCTTGTTACTGGTTAGAAAGCATCGCCCTTGGGGAAACCTTGTTGTGAAGAGACTTATTTCCCATCTGGACAGATTGTCCCTGCAGCATGGCCAGGGACGTGTCCTGCCTGGACACTGCTGCCCTTCCTGAGCATAACCCTGCTTCTTCCACAGGTGCTAAGGCCGTACAGCAACATTTCCAACCTGAAGGTATGGGATTACTATACGGAGGAGACTCTTTCCGAGGGCCCCTCCTATGACTGGGAGCTGGCGCAGGGGCAGCCGGAGCACGTGGAGGAGGCGGATCGGCAGGACACCAGTGCCCCCCAGACGAAGCGCAAGATCATCTGGCCGTGCTACGACAACCGCAGCCGCGTGGAGCCCGACGCCATCTCCAAACTGCTGGAGGTGAGCGAAGCTGGCGGCGGCATCATCTATGCGTTGCTTCTGGGTTTGGCCCTGGCCTAGGCTCCCCATGATGACCCCACGGGTGGGACACTGCCCCGCGCACACAGTGGGACAGGGTTGTGGCAAGGTTGGAGTCGGTTGGGTCCCTGGGACAGGGATAGTGGTCCCATGGGGTCCCAGGGGTCTTGTCCCCTGCTGGGATGATAACTGAATCCCCCCGCAGGAGCTGCACAACCTGGAGATGGAGCTGGGGCAGGTCCCGGAGCGCTGGAAGGACACATGGGACAAGGTTAAAGCTTCCCAGCGCACCGAGGCGCGGCAGGAGGGCAGCCGGGTAGGTTTGGGTGCTGTGTGACGGCTGCCAGTGTCTGAGGGGGTTGGCTTTGCCCGAGGGTCCCCTGACCGAAGCGGGTATTTGCTCCCACAGCCTGGGGCCAAGGAGGGGTGCTGGTGCTCGGCCCCCAGGCTGGGTGTGCCCGAGGGGTGCAGGGCCATCCTCCCCCTCACACTGTGCTCTGCTCCCCGCAGACCCCCAGCTCCCTGCTGATGTCCTCCGGCCTCTCCCACCACCGGCGCTCGCTGGGCGTGTACCTGCAGGAGAGCGGGGTGGGCTCTACCCTCAACCTCAGCCTCGACAGTGACACCAGCAGCACCTCCACCCCCTCCAGCGGGAAGCAGGGCGGCCGCAAGAGCACCAGCACGCTCTACAGCCAGTTCC